CTGTGTGTCACAGAGCTTTCCTCATCTCAGTTGTGTGTCTGTTGTTTGTGATTGTGCAGGTGTGGAGGGAAAAGCTGGAATGGCAGCAATAGCTCACACAGGAGGTACTTTGGACCTTGACACTTTCTTGATTGGTGTAAAAAAAATCCTTCCTTCCTATGCAAGGCCCATCTTCCTGCGACTCATGCCATCTGTTGACACCACAGGTGAGGCAACAATGCAAAGAATATAGCATTTATAGAGATTAGGTATGACAAACTATTTTTACATTTTTCATCTTCAGGTACATTCAAAATTCAAAAGACACGTCTGCAGAGGGAAGGGTTCAAGCCACAAGAGTCAAGTGAAAAGGTTTTTTACCTGAACAACCATGCCGGGTGTTACCAGGCTGTTACCAAGGAACTGTATGAAGACATTATAGAGGGTAAAATGTCCTTTTGAGACAATGTCCTGATGCATCTCAGTAATCCAGGTGAAAAATCAAAAGGAAAAAAAATTGTATAGGGCCACTCCTAGTCTGTATGGTTTACCCAAAATTCACAAACAGGATGTACCGGTAAGACCCATTGTCAGCATGATCAACTCTGTCACTTACAATGTTTCTAAATATYTGAYRTCTATACTTGGTCCTTTAGTTGGCAGCTCAGAACATCACATACAGAACGCTATGGACTTTGTTGACAAGGTGAGGGATGTCATCATGGAGGCAGATGAAACTATGGTCTCTTTTGATGTTACATTGCTCTTTACGTGAGTTCCTGTTGATAAGGCAGTGGATGTGGTCTGTGCAAGATTGAAATCAGACACCACTCTCAGCAGCAGAACCACWCTTTCCACAGAACAAGTGTGCCAACTCCTCAAACTGTGCCAGGAATCAACCTACTTCACGTACGGGGGGCAATATTATAGGCAGAAACATGGGTGTGCCATGGGATCCCCAGTTTCTCCTATTGTTGCAAACCTGTACATGGAGGAAGTGGAAAAGAGAGCCTTGATDTMCTTTTCAGGGGTGCCACCAAGCCATTGGTTCAGATATGTCGACGACACCTGGGTTAAAATGAAAGCCCAGGAAGTCCAACATTTCACTGATCACATCAACTCAGTGGATGAATATACTAAGTTCACACGAGAGGATGTAAAAAATGGCAGGTTGGCGTTCCTGGATTGSGATGTCTCGGTTTCGGATGGAGGACGTTTGGAAACTGGCGTGTATCGTAAGCCCACCCACACAGACCAATATTTGCGTTTTGACTCCCACCACCCACTGGAACACAAGTTAGGAGTGATCAGGACTCTGTACCACNCAGTTTATCAGCTAAAAAAGTTAATTTTGGGGTAAGTTACTCTTTAATTTCAAAGTCATCTCTTCGTGTACATTGTTCCAGATCATCTACTCTTTACTCTAATTCACCTATTTTTTTTCTGTCAGTTATTGCAACCTTCAGTAGCTTCACTTCCTCAACTAGACCAATCAAAAGATGTTGCTGTGATGCCAGATTTGAGATCTCAGCACTCATTAAGTTCAGTGACTTTTTAATTTGCTCCTGGGCCAGATGTTAATATTCCCAGCCCCTGGTTTAAATTTTATTAATTTAAATTAAATGTGCAAAACTTTAAATTCAGTTTCAAATTTTGCACATTCAGATTCAATCTGAGCAATTCAAATTTAATCCCTGCTGGCACAAGATTAATCCCATACCTTCTCCTCTCCCTCACCGACCAAACTAACTTATCAGCTCAGGACGGATGTTGGAGCAAACCTGGTTCAAGATGGCCGCCACAGCTAACTTGGTTCCCGCCTGTCCCACTAAAACCCGAGTCCAGTCAATTACAATCTCATGGGTTCAGAACCAGCAGTCTGAAACAGTTTGTAGAACCGACCCTCCTCCAGAGTTCAGCAAACTAACCGTTCCCGTTAAAAAGCTCCACTCGCCTCAGATTTACAGTCTAAGCATTTTAAACGAGTTAACATATAAAAACTGTTAACTATTGTCACAGAAGACAACAATTTAACTTCATTTCTTACCAAACACAACACTGCAGCAGCTCCCACACACGAGACTCTGTTGTTTGAGTTCTATGGCCGCTCTTCTTCTTCTTCTTCGTGTTTAATGTCGGTTTGATCAAACTGCAGATCATCAGCGCCTCCTGCTGGTGGTTCAACATGGTTTAATTCTATGTTATAGTTATATTCGAGCTTTTTAATTATCATTTATCGCATAATAGGTTATATATATCATGCTTTTAGTTCGGTTGCAGTGTCTTTTATATTGAACTTTAAAAAATAATATTAAATTCACAAACCATATCTTTTCTAATGACGTTTCATAACAAGCTTTATCTTTTTATTCTACCCAGTGTTCACAATTACCTGTGTTGATTTTGTAAAACTACTTTTAATACCATTGTAGGGCTCCAACTAATGATTATTTTAATAAACGATTAATCTGTTGATTATTTTTTCGATTATTCGATTAATCGGCCAAATCATTAAAACTCTTAATTACACGTATATGAGTAGATACAAATTAACTCCTTAAGGATGCAAGTTATTGATAATGAATTAATCTGAAGTTGTTTTACCTTATAGATTGATTAACAATTAATTAATAAGCAGCCATTTTTTAAAAAATGGAGTTTTCTCTTGAATCAAGAGGGTCTTCCCATTAAAT